GAGAGATGATGAATATTTTGAACAAATTGATAGTGAATTAGATAGTTTAAAAGAGAAAAATGATGATGAATTAACAATTATTTATAATTCATGGATATTATGTGAAGCTATTTTGATTGAATTAGGGTATTCTTCAGTGACGTATACAAAAATTACTGTTGATGATCAACTTCTAGATGTAGATAAAAAATTTCTGAATGAACAAAAAAATCGTTTAGTTGAGTATTATAAAAAAATGGAAATAAACTTCTTTAAAGCTAGAGTGGCTTTAGTACTTGGAATTATTTTTAATTTTTTTGAAGATTCTAAAACATCAGAATCATTATTATTTGATTCCTTTTATATATTAAGACAGCCGTGGTATCTTTCATTATTCTTAACTCCTTTAGGAATTAAAGTATGTATTAAATTATTACAAGTTTCTACATTAAATCATAAAACTGAATATTGTAAATCATTAATAGATACAGTATTCTTTGTTGCACCATATGTTCTTTATATTGACATTCAAATTACAGTTAAAACAATTGCAGATATTGCTACACATATTGGAGAAGAAACTAAAGCTATTAATATGTATAAATGGTTAATTGAAATTTATTATAAAGAAGAAAAATATAATGAATTTCTTTATATTGTTGGAGTATTAGCAGAAATATATATTTCAATTGGTTTATATGATAGTGCTTTTCAATTACTGGCTCTTAGATTTGTTTCTCAAAAACATTTAGAAACAACAAATATTAAATCATTACCAATTTATCATCAAAATATGCAAAGATTGGCAGAAATATTCCTTCATGTTGGAGATGATAAAAGAGTTCAAACAACAATCAATTTCTTTAATAAACTTAATATTCCAAGATCAAAAGAAGTAGAATTAAAAGTGATTCTTGCAAAAATGTATGCTAAACGAGGATGGTGTGATGATTGTTTGAAAAGTTTAGAAGATGTTCATTTATTTGAGTTTGAATTAGTCAATAAAAAACAGAGAACAGAAGTTGCTGTTAATGTGTTTTCAATTATAGCAATGTGTTATGTTAATGCAGAACAATATCATAGAGCTATGTCAATGATAGACTTTTCATTAACTTTATGCGATAATACAGACTATAGGTTATTGGGTTCTTTATTCTTTAAACGAGGAAATGTTTTAAGAAAGATATTGTCTAATCCTGTTCAAACATATCCATCTTATCTTAGGGATGATGATGGAATAAACAAATTTTTAACTTCATTCCTTTCAGATGAAAATGGAGAAAAAGTACCAATTAAACTAATTGAACCAACATTATTCAATGGAGATTGGGAAGTTGTTCAAGAAGCATTACTGTCATTTCAAAAATCATATGATATTTATACATTATTGGCGGATGATGGGAGATTAGCTAAAACTCAATTAGTTATTGCATCAACAAAAACTCAATTTTTATTACGTACTCCAAATGACTCTGCTGGATATTGTTTTGCTTCAACACTCAATTTAACATATTTTGAAGGTAGTTCATTCTTAAAGAAATGGAGTGTTGTAAAAATTAAAACAAGTGTTTCCCCAAAAGATTTTATTATTGATGCTGAAGGTGCGAGAAAATATGCTTATGAAGCATTAAAAACATATTCACAAATATTTGATATATGGCATATTATTCCTGCATATGTTACTATGGCAGAAATACAGTTTCTAAGAGACAAAAGACAAGAGTCATATTCACATCTTCAACTAGCTGTCCAAACATTATACACAATGTTTTTTGATGGTCCAAGAGATATTGGACCGAATGTACCTGCTCATTATGTATTTACTATGTATGAAATTTTAGGAAGAGTTGTACGGTTAATGATTTTATTTGGAAAGAATACTATTAATGCTAATTTTGTTATAATAGATACTTATTTAATGCTTCAATATGCAACATTAAGAATTAGAAGAAGAAATAATGAATTTATTGATTTCTGGGAGAATTTAAATCAAACACGATCATTTTGTGACACAGTTAATAAAAAACTTCAATTAGATTGTATTGATGAAACAGACTTATTAAGAGTGTTATTAATTAAAATGTGTAATAGAATTAATCCAACATTAGCTATGTATGAGGCATATGCAACTCATGCACTTTCTTTATACTCACAATTACTTTATTCTAAAATTGTAGCAATTAAATATAATGTAGAACGATATTCAAATTCAAGAATAACTAAAAATGGTTTAATTGATTCTAATAAAGAATTAATTAAAAATATATTAGAAATGGTTAAAGAAAGTCATTTTAATTATTCATTTGTTATTCCTCAATTAGGAACTGTTAGACAACCTGAACCTTCATTTGAAATACTCCCTATTTTCAGACAACAAATCACTACTACAACTCAAACGATTGCTGCTTCAACTGCTCAGTTTAAATCTGAGCATGTATTTTTAATATTACAATTATGTGGATCAATTATTTTTTATCATAGTTCTGGAGAAACATGTGTATGTCAATTTGGTGTATTATCTCCAATACAAACAACTATTACAATGATTGCAATAAAAATTACAATTAAAAAAGGGTCAATATATTATATTGTTTCACCAACAATAACCATTTCACAGTTATTACTTGCATTGTCACATGATATGGAAAATGAAACAAAAATTAAAAAATCAACGTTTGGTAGTCTAAAAATTAGTAAAGGAAAATGTAAGATGGTTGGATGTGAAAAAGAATTTAACAAAGAAATTATTCGGATGATGAAGAAAAAGAAAGGATTTAATTTTATAAATGCTTTATGTCTCTCTAGAACTAATAAACCAACGGAAATGCTTAATGAAGAATCCACTATATTGTCATTACTTAGTCCAAGTCAATTGAAAGAAACTCAATTCAATGGTCATTTAAAAGAATATCCACAAAAACCATTTACATTATATTTAATAAAACGACCTGCAATTGTTAATTTACAAAATATTGTTAAACGACAAACAATTACAATGGATGGATTTTTAATGAATTATTTTGCTTATAACATTGATAGAACTCGTCCTCAACCATGTGATTCTATTTCACAAGTTAAATCTAAAATGGAAGAAATATTTAATTCTTTAGATCTCTTTAAAGAACGTCGAGCAAATAAATTAATTGTTAGTCCAACACTAAATATTATTCCATGGGAGTTATTAGAACCATTCAAAAATTGTGTCAGGTATTTTTCTTTTTCAGGGATTGAAAGGATTAATTCATCTAAAATAAGTCCTGAAGCACCACCATTATTCTTATTCTTCAAATGCAGTGATAATATAGCTTTAGATGAGGCAAGAAAACAAGAATTAATTAAAGAATCGAACCTTGCATTATGTTATACAGATGGTATACCAAACAGGTCAACTCAAACAATTGCATCAGGGTTTTTTGCTAACTCAGCAATGAAAACATTCTCTAACACATATCCAAGTATCTTTAAAACAATTGATATTTATCCACAACGGCTATTTTCTGAACAGTTGAAAGAATTTATTATGGACGAAAATTATGAATATATTGTTGTTATCTCAGAAGCTGATTTATTAGAGTGTTCTGACCTCTTATCTTTTATTGCAACTCAAACTAACTTTGGTATTATGTCTATCTCTAAATTAAAGTATCGTAAGTTACAAGAATCTACTTTAAAAATGGAAAAGAAAGAGATTTTATCAGATAAACAAAAATTTGTTCTAATAAAACAAGTCCAATCTGATCTAACAGGAAAAACATTCAATTGCTCTTCTCTTTTCCATGTAAAGCAAACTGATTAAATTGGAATTGTTCATTTTTTTTACTTTAAGACTTTTGGTTGTGATTAGTAAAAAAAAATAACAAATTTACTATTTGTAATAATCAAAGAATTTTACTTCTTTCAAACTAATAATTTCAATTCCAATTAACATGGGAATAAAACTTTTGGCAATTTTGTTTATTTTTTGTCAAATTATGTGTGTTGTTGCTGAAACCTTAAAAGGTGGAAGTGATGATGAAGATGATGAATGGGGTGTTTCTGGATGGATTGGAATATTTGTTGTTTGCATTAGTACAGCATCCTTTACTATTTTACTATTAGGACTTGTAATTTTTTGTCATTGTGTTGATTTAACTCGTTATCATTTGGAATAAAACCACAAAAGGATAAGAAGAAGAAATAACTGAATTATTTTTGTTTGGCAAGTTCTTTATATTTTTGTTTTAATTCATTAGATAAATGTTCACATGCATAATTTCGTGTTACTGGATGTAGTGTTGTTACATTTTCATTAAGATAAGTTATTAGTTTCTTTTTATTTTTCTTTCCTATTTCTTTTAACATCCATCCACATGCTTTATGTATTAAGTCATGAGGATCTGATTTAAGAATATCACAAATTTTTAATGCATCTTCAAATTGTCCATTTTTAATGAATGCCATTGTTGTGACCATTGAAATTCTTCTTTCCCATAAAGATTTACTTTGAGCTAATATGTAAAGAATATCCTTTTCCTTTTTTAACAAGTATTTTCCAAGAATTTTATAACACGTTATATCAACTAAATCCCAATTATTTAAATGTTCTGTTTGAGTGAGATAAAATTTATAAACAGCTTCTTCATCAATTGGATATAATGCGACAAGAATGACACAACCTGATACCCGAATTTCATGATATTTATTATTTAATAAATCTTTTACTTCATTCAATACTTCATTTATTGTCTTTCCTTCAATCAATTTTTTTCGTTGAATATAAGTATTTAAAAATACTTTTGTTTCTTTTCTGATTAATGGTAAGGAAACTCCTAGAAAAAGGTCTCCTTCACCATATTCACCTTTTCCAGTTTTGAAAAACCTTTGTAATATTTTTGCTTTATCTTTATTTTCTAATGTAATAATTCTTTGAATAAGTTCATTAGCTTTCATCTTAATCTACATAAATTCTAAGTTTTCTTTTAAATAACTCAATAGTTCTTATATTTCAAATTAAAAAGAAGAAAAATAAAAAATAGTTTTTATCATTCATCATAATTTTGTTCTTCTGACATTTCTTGATTATTATTTTCTTCTTCTTTTTCATTAAGTTCATCTTCACCTCCTTCTTTGATGATTATTTTTTCAAACTCTTCAATTAATACTTTCATTTCTGGTTTAGCAAACTTCCTTAGTCGTTGACATAAAGATATGAAAGCTTCTTTAACTTCTGTAATATGTAATTTATTTCCAAAAATTTTTACTGAGCTGATTAATTTTTTTAATGTTTTTTCATTATATGATAAGAGAGATAAACAATAAGCAGTATATTCCCATTGTTTTGGTGTTTGTTCATTCATAGTAAATCTTGAACATAATTTATTCATTAATTGTTCATGTTGTTTATCTTTTGAAATAAATGAAAAGATGTATTTAATAATATATCTAAAATGTTCTTTACTAATATCCTCATTTCCAAGTGATGAAATAAGGTCAGGAAGAACATTGTAAATGGCATTTGTTTTTGATGAATATTCTTGGAAAAATGTATGAGCCAAATCTCTAACTCTTTCTTCATCATCAACAAGTGCAAGTCCCATCAAATATATTGACCCTTTTACCTTAATAATATCATGAAATATTAATTCACTTAATACAATAACTGCACTTCTCCTAACTAATGCACTTGGATCTTTTAAACGCCCATAAAGATATTTAATCCATCCTTCTAACAGATTTGGATATCTACATGCAAAGTCTCCAACATAATAAACAATATTACTTCTAACACATTCATCTTGTGTATTTTCTAATATAGTAAATAATTCTTGAAGATGTTCTTCACAATAATGTTGACTAACCATCATAAAAGAACATAAAGAGTTAACCACAACAGCTCTGAATGTTAAGAAATTATCTTCATTATATTTTCCTTCAATAATATCTTTACAATAGTCATTTATAATTGGTACAAACTCTCCTAATAACCCATCTTCTAACACTTCACCAACAACTTCATGAATTTTATTTTCACACGCAACACTAATCCGTTTTCCCTTCTTTCCTTTTTTTTTCTCAACTTCATCTACAACACCTTCTTTCATTTTTTCATATATCTCTCCTTGTTTTCTTGCTACTCCTCCAACAGCAGACAATAATTTACTAACGTTTGATACTTTAGAACTTTTTCCAACTTCAGCAACTCTTCTTAAAATAATTTCTTTCCCTATTTCATTTGGATTATCAACTGCTTTATAAACAAGGTCAAGAACTAATTGGCATAAAGCAATCCATGTGTTTGACCCCATTGTTTCATCAAGACAATCCATTATTTGAATTATAGTTGGATCATTTGCACTAATCTTTTCTAACTCATTCTTTTCATCATATAATTGATATAAAACTTGACATCCTCTATATATAAATGTAGGAAGTTGTCCTTTTTTGAAGCAAATTGAATTTAATAATGATATTTTGTTTAATATTAATGATGGTTTTGCAGCTCCAATAAAAGATAATAGTGTTAATGCAGTAAGTGCCTCCATGTCTCCTCCACTTGGTAATTTACCAGCCATATATGCCCATAAATAATCAATTTCTGTTGGTCCAATAACTTTTTTTTGAATAAGCAATTCAACTAATTTCTTAATACATAATTCTTCTCCAATATTTGATCCATTTGTCATAATTAATAAATTATTTACTGTATTTTGTGGAGATTCTTCACAAAGAGCTTTAGAAACTGCTTCAACAATAACATTTTGAACATCAACTTCTTTAGAAAATAATAGTTCTAATGTTTTCTTTAGTGCTCTTGCTCCTTTAGGTATTTTGTATTGACAAATACTTCCAAAGAATTTAATTGCTTCTTTAAGATCTAACACTGATGTTGATTCCAATATTCTTTCAACAGAATCAACAGCCTCTTCAAATACACTAATAAATTCAATTGAATTTTTTAACCACTCAATAAAATTTTTTAAAACTTCTTGTTTTTTAGCTTCAAGTAATTCAGTATCTGCGACATGTTGAAATCCAGTTCCTTCAAATATCTCTAAAATTTTATTAACTGGAACAGTAAATTCTTGTTCTTCTTCTTCTTCTTCACTGTCATCTTTGTTTTCTTCCTTTACATTTTCTTTTAACATTTCAGCAGTTTCTTGTAACTTCGATTCAAAAAGGTCTCTTCTTAATATAACTGAATATGGATTAAATACTAGCATTGCTTGTAATAATGAAATTGCATTTTTTCTTACTGGTGTTGATTTGTCATTTAAACGTTCAACAGCACTAGAAGTTAATTTATTAAATCGTTCTAGTGGGATACATCTATGTTCAACAAGCATTTGCCACATTTGTAATACTTTAACTCTTACAAATGAATTAATGTCATGAAATCTTTCAGTAAGACAATCATATAACTGATCATTTGGGGTATCAAGAAGAATATTAGCATAACACTCAATTACAGCATTACGAAGTATATGTTCTTGTTGATCTAATAAACAATGAAGAATACTCGGTAATTTTAATTTACTTTCAGGAACTAACTCAGGTAGTAAAGGAAATAAGATAGAAATACTTTTTAGTAATTTTGGATTTATGGTATCAATAGAAAGTAATTGTCTAAGAAATTTTTGTAATACTGGACTATTATTACGAAGAATGGAGTTAGCAATTTTAATAATATCATTATCTTCACTTAATAATTGTATAAGTCCTGTAACAATCCCTTCTATATGATTAAGATTTGTTAGTTGAATAAAGACTTTATTTAAAAATTCACTGTCAATTGTTTTTATTCCCTTTGTTGCTATTTGCCTTATAGTATCTAAAAAGAAGGTATCAGGTGATGTAAAAATACTATCAAACGGTAATTGTAAAACATCAATGACACTCTTAATAACAAGTTGATCAATGTCAATAAGACTTTCTAGATAAATAATCATTTTTAAAGTACTTCTGTATTGTTTACATTGGTCTGAATTTAAAGATTCAAGATTATATTTAACTAATGAAATCGCAATTTGACAAATAGAATTTGATAATACTTTTTTTTGTGCTGCTAAATGTAAATATCCATATTTGTTTGGTTCTGAGTATAAAATAAGAGGGTCTAATGACGCTTCTTTAATTATTGATGATGTGATTTTTTTTATATCTGATAATTTACAATCATTTTCAAAACCATTTGGTATACTGCAATCTAATAACCCACCATACCCTTTTTCCTTTTCATGTTCTGTTTGAGGAATCTCAAACTCCATTATGTCTTTTAATTTTAAATCGATTCTTAGTTTTTCACTTTTCATCTCAGTTTTTCTCTTTTTTTAAATTGATGAAAATAACTCTAAGTGAAAAGTAAATACCCTAAAATACTAATTTACAACTTTTTCATGTAAATTAAAGGAAATTTTTTTGATTGTTCTTCAAAAAAAAAGCAAAATAACAAAAATATAAAAAAAGAAATAAAAATTTTTAAATAAAAAAAAATTAACATAATTTCATTGTCTCAATGAAGTACTTGGAATGGTTACAACAAAATAAAGAAACAGAAATATACAAAATACTTAAATTAAATAAAGAAGACTATCCGTTTGAATATCTTTTTCAAGAAAGTGGAGAAATATTAAATAAAGAAACAAGTAAACTAATTTCATTAAGATCATACTTATTTTCTATTCCTATGTTTCATTATCTTCAACCTTATTCAAACTTTATATCACTTATTGACTTTGGAAAATATCTTTGTAATGAATTAAATAAAGAAGTACCACCTGAAAATTCTTCTCAGTCTATAACTCATCAACCATTAAACACTTCTTTAAAACGTACTTCTTCAACACATTCCTCTCTAAAAGTTTTTATTCCTATAAAAAAGACTGTATCTTCTAATTCTTTAGAACATGATCAAGACCTTCTTCCAAATCAAGAAATATTGCCTTCAAAAAGCTATGTAACATCTGTTTCAGAACCAATTCAAGTAATTCCTATTAAACCTAAATTACCTGAAATACATCATCCAATTATTATGAGTTTAGTTGATCAATTACCAGTTAGGTTTAAAGAAACATTACTTTCATATTATACACTCTCAAAAGTACTTTACATTATTCAACCAAAACAAAATTTTGAAACAGTCAATATACGTCAAAATGCTTTTATAAGAGTAATTAACAATTCTGGAATTGATGTATCAGCATATGTAACAATAGATAAAACTGATTATTTGTTTGAACAATATAATGAAAACACAAAATATAAAGTTATTCCTTATCCAATTAAAAATGGAATATATAAAATCAAGTCAAATGAAACTATTGTTATTTTTACTTGTAATCAAGAAAATCCATCTGTAATAACAGATAGATTAATTGATGAAATTAATAAAGAACATCGTTATACTGATAAACTTGTAGATGATATTATTAGTGATGGTGAAATGGAATTAGAAGATAGAGTTGTTATTTCATTAAATTGTCCATTCTCTAAATGTAGAATGAATAATCCAGTAAAAGGAAAACACTGTAGTCATAATTTCTATATGGATGCAATAAGTTTAATTACTAGTTGGAAACATAAACCTTGGATTTGTTGTTTTTGTAAGCAAGTTTGTTATTGGGAAGATGTTGAATTAAATATTAAACTTCAAGAAATAATTCAAAAAGCACCTCCAAGTGCTGAGTTTGTTGAAATTATTAATGGGTGTGTTAATTATAAAGACAAAAATAAAAATGAGTTACTTTTAACAAATGATGTCATAGATGTTGATAGTTATCCTAGTGTTATTGACGTTGATGATATCGATAATACTGAATGTACATTTAATAATAATGTTGAAAATAAACAAAACTTAAGTGATAATACTCAATCAGAAAGAAAAAGCATTGACAATGATTGTACAATTACTAAAATTAAATCAGTTAATACATTTTATCATTCTACTTCAACGGAAGAAAATCTTTCTTTTCAGTATGATTGTGAGGGTGATTATGATTATACTTCTGACGAAACTATAGAAAACAATCCCGACAAGATTAATTTTTAAAAGAAGAATAAAAAAATCAATTCTTATTGCAAATAAGAAATTGTAATATTTTTTAGTGTATTGTCGAAAATCTTTAAAATTCTTTATTATTTTGTGAAATTTTATAAATAACTTTTGTTTTTTTATTTCGTTATTAACTTTTTAAAAAGCATTTAGAGATCTTTATAAAGAATAATAAGTAAAAATAGTAAAAATAATTATAAAAAGCTAGAAAAAAAAAGAAATAGAAATAAAAAGCAAAAAGAGCAACTCTCTGAATAAAAAGAAAAATCAAAATAACAGAAAAAAAAAGAAGAATCTAAAAAGAGAGAAAAAAATGGGATATTGTGTGATTGAACACACTTACCATTCTTCAACAGAAAATATCAAATCACAAGGAATTTATTCTTTATACTCTGAGTTTAGTTCTATTATTGAAAAAGTTCAACCTCCAATTAGACAAGAAGGAACATTTTGTCATATCCCAAGTATTCGTGTTATTCCTAATTGGAATGATTCTATTTCAATGTATGCTAGTGATGGTGATACTTTACAAGTAGATATTTTTCCAATTCAATTACAAGTTATTAAAAAATTTCATAATGAATATTCAACAACTCAATTACCTGAAAAGTTTAATTCAATGTTACGTGAAGCTCAACAACAAGTAGAAAAAAGTGCAACAATGTTATCACCATCAAACCAATTAACTTCTCCTAGAATGAGAGTTCATTATATTTCAGACGTAGTATTTGGAAGAGCCTTTAATGTGGCAATGTCACAAAAACCACCTTGTAGTTATACTAAAGCATTACCTCATTTAATTTATATTAAAACAGGAAATGTTAAAAAAGATATACCTGCTTTATGGTTTAAATGTTCAATGAAATCAAGTACTTCTATTGAACCAGTAACAATTATGTATATGCATGATTGTGGAGAAGATTTAGGACTAATAACCTCATCATTAGAACTATTAACAGAAACAATGCATTGTAACATATTAGCATTTGAATATCCAAGTTATGGATTATTTGACCAGCCTTATTCAGATGAATTATTAGCAACAAATGCAGAATATGTATATTCATATATTACTTCTATTTTACATAAACCAACAAGTAGATTAATTTTATGTGGAAAAGGAGTTGGTGCAGCTGTATCTTTAATGTTAGCAAGTAAAAAAAAAACTAAGAAAAATGAAACAATTGCAGCTGGAGTAATAATGATAAGTCCTAAGATGGATCCATCTACATTTGGTAAAGGAATATTTGAAAATGTTAAAATGATTAAAATGGTAAAAATACCAGTGTTTGCAATTTATGGGCAACAAGATAGATTTGCTGGTGGAATGAAAAAATTACAGTCTATTATTAAAAATGCACAAGACTTTATATGTATTCCTGAAGCTAGTGATGATATTGAATCATCATATTATAATGAATATAGTGAAACATTAAGTAGTTTTATTGTAAAGTTATTCCCTGAATTTTCATTATTATTTAATGGAGCTGAACTTGAGAAAATGAAACCAAATAAATTTAATGATAGTCCAATTGAGGTAATGAAAAAATTATTAACTCCTCTTGGCTTGGAACAGTATGCCGAAGTATTTATTTGTTTCGGATATATTAGTCAAGATGATTTATTTAGTATGGATGATGAAGAATTGGCAATGATTGGTCTTCCTTCTGAAGACCTTTCTAAACTCAAAGAATTCTTAAAAAAGAAGAGGTCTAATTCTTCTCATGCAATGGATAAACGGATTAGGGGTGGTTCAATGAATAGTCCTAATCCAATAACTCCAGACTTAACAAATGATATTATTTCACCACCAAAAACTCCTCACTTCTAATTTTTTTTTGTTGATACATTTTTCCATGAACCATCGTAACAGGTTAAATAAACTACTAAATTATTCATTATTTAGGTTTACATTCACTCATTGACACTACTCCCTTCTTCAATAAATAATCTTTATATTCTTCCCATTTACAAAAACCATCTACTTGATGGCATATTGGTAATGATATGACTTCATTATTATATACCACCCTTACATACCTTTCTCCTTCAAATGAATAAATTTCAATGTCAATGTGACTGGCATATGGTGGCCATGTGAATACATCTTGTCCAATTAATGCAAGGTATGGCAGTAATGTTGAATCATGACCTGTATAATGTTCGTAGACATAACTACTTGTACCATTTAATGCCATCTCTGCCCTATCAATTAGTTCTTTTAGGAATAGCCCAATTTGTAATTGAGCTAGTCCATCAGTTCTAAATAAATACCTATTTTCTAATTGAGTTTGATACCATAATTGATTATAATCCTCAATGGTTAAACACTCTCCATTTCTACATGGTAAGGAGATATTGTGACATATTCTACAATTCATAATATCAACATAATCTTCTAACCAATCATATTTTGATTTAAATCCGAGTATTTTAATTGCTTTTTCTTCAAAACGTTGAACTGACAAACGAGTTTGATTAACAAGAGCAATTTTATAGGTATCTTTTTCTCTTTTACTAATTTCACTGCAAAGATCCCTATTAGGAAACATTATTTCAATATCTTTTGGAACGACATATATTGGAATTATTTTTTCTTGTAATCTTGTTTCTGGTGGATAAAATGTTTGACTAAAGGCTTGAGATGATTGAATAGTTCTACTACGTTCGGTACTTCTAATATAAATTTTTCTAGGGTCGTATTCAACAGGAAGAAACCCCATATCCAAATATTTTTTTCGTTGATATATTCCTAAATTGTGGTGTTGTCTTATTCCTTTAACAGTCAACTGAGAAGTTTCACAATTTCCTTTCCACATAAAGTTTTTAGCATATGGATTAGTATTTTTATCAATAACATTTATCCTTATTGTATCACCAGCTTTCCCTATTGAATCACTTTCTCTTACACTAGATAATGTTATTCCACTACAATTATAAAATGCATCGTCTTGATCAAATGAGTTCATAGGACTTCTATCACCATGTCTAGTTAATGTTTGAACAAATATTAAATTGTATCCTTTAGGAACTGAAACAACCTTGGGAAGTGGTGCTTGGCAATAATTGCTCAAAGCAGTTGTAACAAATATTATAAAAATAATACATTGAATTGATGACATGATTTTTGGAAGTCTATGTATTTAGAAGTTCTTATTTTTTTTTTTAACTAAACTACAGGAAGAAAATTCTTTTGTCTTATTTGTAGAAAAAGTATTATTCATTGAAAATTAGTTATTTTCATCATGTGTTTTTTCTGAATTAGAATTAAGTATTAAGTTATTTCTTACTTATTAAAAATGTAAAAAACAAACAAAAGAAAACAGTTGTTCTTTCATATAAAATTTTGTAATTAAAAATAATTTGAAGCATAGAAGAAAACCAGAAAACTATTTACTTAAGATATAGACTAACAACATCCTTAGTTGTTTTAATCATGTGGGGAAGAAGCTAGATCATGGCAACCTCCAAGCATAATTGCAAGAACATCATCTATTGAGTCATGCTATTCCATTGATTAAATTTCTATATTATTTAAAAACCAAAAAAACAAACATCATTTTGCTCAATAGACATTGGCTTTGATAGAGTTTCAGACTCTTCATTATCTGATGGTTCAATAGTTGAATTACAGGTAATGTTTTTGTTTTTTTGTGAATCAAGAAAATGTTGTTTAATATGAATTTTATCATAAAATGATTGTTTAATTCGGTTGTAAGTGCTTACCGAGTTGAAAATAAGGTATTCAGTCTGCATAAAACTTGTTATCTGAGTTATATATTTGAGAGACAAGGGTTTAAAAATAATCAAATTGCTACCTCAAACACATTGATATAATAAAACTGTGAAATTAACTGAATAATAACCCTTTGCACCTAATTTTCATTTCAATCTTCGGGATTTAATTGATAAGTGGGAAAATTCTACTTTTATTTTATCACAAAAAAGAATCTTTCGTTTCAGTTAAGTTGTAGAAAAGTTCTAACTTCTTGTAAAGTACAGAAAATAAAAAAAATAGATAAATATTTATATAATAGTTATATAAAACAGTTTTGAGATAATTCCTAAATCAGAAAAAATGAAAAGAAACTAAAAAACTCATCCATAACAGAAAAAGATGAATAGGTATAACATTGAAGGAAAACACCCTCTTATAGAAGACCAACGATCAAATAAGAGAAGAGGTAAAGAGGAGAATAAAAAATGGGGAGAATTAGTTCCATTAAATGATAATTGTAAATATCCAACTGTAGAATTAAATAGTAAGGTATATTCATTTTCAAAGAATAGTGGGTTAACTGTAGGTGTTGAATGTAATTTTTTATATGATGAGGATAGAAAAAAAGGATATTTAGAAGTAATATCACAACTTGGTTGTGTATATGTTAACCAGAAACCAATTAGAAAAGGAAGAGACCGAGAAAAAGTTATTTTAGAAGATGGAAACGAAATAGGTTTTTACTTCAGTGAAACTTATTTATTTAAATTTCATTATTGTGATGGTACAACAACATTACATCCAATGAGAGAAGATGTTTTAGCAGAACAACCTAGACAAACAAATAAACGGTTTCAAACAAAGACCATTAGACCAATCCAAACACCAAGTATTGCTGAACTTTCAGAACGTCTTATATATAAACCAAACCAAGCACAAACTGATCAAACAGAACAAATTTGGCAATTTATTCCAGAAAATATTCAACAACAACTTCGTTCTGAATTTGATTTTTGTCTTTCTTCTACACCAGAAGAAGCAATTTATTCTCGTATTCCATCATTAAGTAGAACTTTATTATTAACAACGCCAAATGGTACAGAGTTATTTGTTAGTAGGTTATTAAAACGAATAGCAAATGAGATGAATGTTCCTCTTTTAGAAATTGATTGTACATTGCTTGGGGCAGTAGATGGTGTTGAACAAGAGTGTATAAAAAATTTCCAATATGGTGATCGTGTTAAATATATTGGAAAAGGAAAATATTCTGATGAAGAACAATTAGGCAAGATTGGAACTGTTTTATTTGTTGCAAATGGTAAAGTTGCTGTAAACTTTGAAAATACACCAAACGGACATAGTGGAGCGTTTGTAGAAATTGATATGTTAGGTGGAGTAGATGAAGAAGTTCCTAATCAAGACAGAAGATTAATAGGAAGATTACCTGAAATATTAAAAACATATCCTCAATTAATTGTTGTATTACAAAAAGTAGATGTTATTATGCAATTGAAACATGATGTTTCTACAGAAATTAGAACATTTATTAATGACTTTAAAAAACGTAATGAAGGTATTCTTGTTGGATGTAATGCTAATGCACCACCTCCTAAATCATCTCATTCAAAACAAATTGCACAAGTAGACCAAGGTATTTGTATGTTCAGTGAGAAGGAAATTAAGATGGTAGATGCTTATGGAATTAAAGGACAACAACATGGAAGAAGTATTTTTAAAACTTTACAGAAGATGTTTGGTAATTCAATTACTATTCAAACACCAACTGGAGAAGAAGCTCGTTCATGGTGGATTATGATGCAAGAGGATGCTAAACAAATGTCTGCCTCTATTTCTAAACGATCAATCAAGAATGAGTTATTAAAACATGGACTTGAAATGGAAAAAATTGATGACTCAGAACTACAACTAGATTTAAAAGAAGAAGATGTTGAAAAGATTGTAGGCTGGGCATTTGCCCATGAAATAGAAAAAAGACCAGATAAAAATATTCGAACAATTTCTAAAGAATCTATTATGCGTGCTATTGCTATGCAAATGCAATTAAATCCGGTAAAAGATGTAGTTGATACATTAGAAGCAGAAAATGAATTTGAAAAGAAATTAATGAATGACGTTATCCGTGCAGGAGATGTTGATGTTTCTTTCAGTGATATTGGGGCATTAGAAAAAGTTAAAGAAACATTGTATGAATCTATTACATTACCATTATTAAGACCAGAACTCTTTAAGAAAGGGTCTCTTACAAAACGCAGTAAAGGAATTCTTTTCTTCGGTCCACCAGGAACTGGTAAAACTATGTTAGCCAAAGCTGTTGCTAAAGAAAGTAAAGCCAATTTTATTAATGCATCATTATCATCACTCGAATCAAAGTGGTTTGGAGAAGCTGAAAAATTTGTTAAAGCATTATTTTCATTAGCAGCTAAGTTGTCACCATGTGTTATTTTTATTGATGAAGTTGATGCATTATTAGGTAAAAGAACATCACAAAATGAAAATGAAACATTGAGAAAGATGAAAAACGAATTTATGACATTATGGGATGGTCTAAAATCACAGAACCTTGAACAAATTATTGTACTTGGAGCAACAAATAGGCCATTTGATTTAGATGATGCTATCTTACGAAGGTTCAGTAGAAGAATTCTTGTTGATCTTCCAACAAAAGAAGACCGTGAAAATATATTAAAGATTATATTAAAAGGAGAGAAAATAGACTGTGATATTAGTAAAATAGCTGAAAAAACACCAGGATATTCTGGTTGTGATTTGTTTAATTTATGTTGTGCTGCTGCTATGAGACCAATTCGAGATTATATTGCAAAGGAAAATAAAGAGAAAGAACGAATAGAACAATTAAAGAAAGAACAAAAAGAAATGGAGTCTAAAGGAATAAATCCTTCTCCATTTGTTAAAGTGGAAGAATTTGTTAATCCAACTATAGAAGTTGCTAAAGAACAAATCCGTGCTATGAATGACAATGACTTCTTTGAAGTACTTAGTACAATGAACCCTAGTACAAACAAAGATTCACCATTTTTGACTGAAATTAGAAATTGGAATGAACAGTTTGGTGAAAATAAACAAGGTAATAATGAAATTGTTTCATATTTCATTTAATGAATATCTCACAATAAGTAATTGATTTGTTGTAAATCCTTTTGTATTTAATAATTATTTTTATGAGATATTGATTTATTACTAATTTTAGTAAAAGAAACGTTAATAATTAATTAAATTAATGGATCTTTTGTTGAAAAACATCCAAAAGAATTTTGAAGTTGATGTTCATGTTCTATTCTAACATCAGTTAAAGAAATACCTGGGAAATATTTCATTAAATAAGGCTCAGCCAATTTACCAGTTAAGAAGACTAATTGGTAATTTTTTGGTTTACCTAAAAATTCAACAGTATGAGAAACTTTTTCATCACATTCATCAGATAAGAATGGAGGGTCTACAATGATTAAATCAAATTGGTGGTGATATTCTTCTTTTAGCATTGTTGGTTTCTTATAGTCATAAAATGAAAAATTAATTCCAAATACTTGAAAACGAGTATCATATTCAAATAATACAAATTCAGCATTAGGAACTTTTTCTTTGTTTCTAATATAAGCACGATAAATTGAAGGTGTTGATACACATGCTACTTTACAATTTTCTATAGAATTAACATAATTAGCAATATAATCAATCACCCTATCTCCAGTTGCCTTGTCGTACCAAAATTGAGATAATTCCCAATCTTCATCAATCAATGGAAAACCATCTTCATCAATCTTTGGCTCTTCTACAGAACTTTCAAAAACTTCATTTAAAGCTTTGATAGTATCGAATCTAAACCCATAGTATTTTTCATTTCCTTGTTCATCAATAGAACCAGAACTTGAGCTTGACTCAGACATATTTCCACTTTTTAACCTTTTTATTAAGTTTTTTTCTTTTTATTTTTGAGAAAAAAAGGGTGAGTTGTCTAATATTTTATTAATTTCAAATTTATTCTTTGTAACTTTTTTAACATTACTGTGGATGTTATGTGGTGACACGTTATTAGTATTAGTAATAAAATAAAACAAATTTAGAAGAATAAATTATTTATAAAGCTCAGATGGTTGGAAAGGATGAGGAGGTAATTGTAATGCTGTACAATACTTATTACATTTGTGGGTTATAAAAAATTGGTTTATTCCAGTGTTTCCAAGATTAGTAAATGCAAAGAAATAATGGGACAAAAATTGATGATGAATTGCTGGATCTGTTAGTTCATATAGATTATCTTCTTTACGAAATACACCTTGAAGGTCAGTGATAATGAAAGACTTTGATGAAATAAAGTAAGAAAAATGAGAGAAACACTGCATAGTATAACTATAGTTACAATAATTAACGCTTGAGTTATTTGAATTGTACTTTTCAAAACTTCCAACTAATGGTTGTTCAATAAACCATATTGTTTTGCCTACTGCCATTTTTTCAATTTCATTGACACTAATTTTTTTTGAATCAAAGAATTGTCTTCTGAGTGAAGATGTTCTTGGAGTTTCAATAAATAATCTTAAAGGAATAAAAGTAACTTTCTTAATAGAGTCAAGTTCATTTCTTTCTTTTTGTTCATTTTCTGTTTTTCTGTTTTTATTTGATTCGAGTTCTTCTTTTCTTGAAAGAATATCTGACATTGTAATTTCTTCAATTGTTTTTCCTTCTTTCAATAAACTAATATAAGACTCAAATAAATGACTAACATACTGACATTGAAGATGCATAGCAACCGTATCAACATAACTTTCAAACCCCATCATATTTTTGGTTTTAAATTGTTTGATGATAATTTCGTTCTTATCCATATCAAATCCATGAAAAGCAATTCTCACAGCACCAACTCCAAAAGGAAAATCTGCTATATTAATTTCCCCAGAATAACATATCCCAAATTCTGGACATTCTGTTTCATTTTGTTGAAGATCAACAAAAATCCCATGATGACATTCACATTCTTTAAACTTTGGTTTTTTTTTGGTTGTCAACCATTCATAATTCCCATTATTAAAATGATAATATCTCGAATAACATTCATCTGAAAAACAACGTGAGAACATTGAATTTAAAAATGGAGGAGAAGCAAAGAAATTTTTTACAAAAGGAATAGAACGATAAGGGTGTTGTATATCATTAAACATTAAACAATAATAATCATATTGATCATTCAACATTTGATGAGGTTGTTCACATACTGAATTTGAATAGCAGAAGTGAATTAAACCAATTTTTGATTTAATAATTGTTTTTATCTCTTTAACTTTTTTATAAACAAAACCAATTTCTAATTGATAATGTTTTTTTTTAATCATTGAAGAGTTGTAAAACATCTGAAACTTATTTTCGTCTTGTAATACATTTGTCAAATCATCTCCTGTTAATTCTTGGATTTCATTATAATTATAAAATAAAATCCTCATCGCTAAATCTTTAGGTCTTTCATCATAAACAAGATTCAATTTTTCTCTTAAACTTTCAATCTGGTCTTTTTCCAATAAAGCCATTTCCACAATTATAATTATTAAATCTACTCTCATCTTCCTAACCATTTCATGGAAATCAAGTTCTTCATGAATAGAATCATTCAATTCTGTTACTCTTTGAAACTCTTTAAACTCTTTTACTTTTTTAGCTTTTTTAATTCGTGATTCAATAATTTTTAACATCTAATGATGTTTCTCTTAAATTTTTAAGTTCTATTTTTCTTTTATAGGTTTAAACCAAATTAAATACTAACATTAAGTATTATAATTATTTTTTTGTCGACTTTAAATGACTCTTAGCTTGAAGAACTTCATTAAGTGAAATTTTTGTTCTATTACTTTCCAAATTGATTACTTCTTTCTTTTCTTGTGTTTCTTTTTGTGTTTTAACGTCCCCAATAACTTTTGTAGCTTGGTGAACCTTTTTCTTTGTAATTCTTCTTTTAGGAACATTAATCAATGTCGTTTCTTCATTTAGTAATTCTTCAATTTGTTCCTTTTGATTAACAGGTAGTTGTTTCTTTTCTTGTTGTTGAGGTTTCACAATAACTTCAGACTGAGATATATTGCGGTTTTTTAAACGATGTTTTTCTTCAGCTTCTTTATTAAGTTGTTCAATTTGTTTGGCAAGTGCAGAAATACTTTCTTTGGCATGTGTAGAAATTTTGATTGTCTTAGTCTTATTACATTCAGGCTTTGGGGTAATAGTTTTTGGTTTACTTTTACAACTTCCTGGGATTCTGACATTTGAAAACCGTAGTTCTATTTTCTCTTCTTGTTTAGAATGTTTTGAATAAAGTAAAGAGGCAACTGCATAAAGAAAATGAAGTAAAGAGGCAAGAATGAAATATATAACAACAAAATTTTTTTTTTGATTAACCGCGATAATAATATAAAATTTTATAAAGACTTGGGATAATAAAAGTAATGATAATAACCGTCTAAAAAAGGGGGAGTAATCAAAAAGTATTGAAACAAAAATTATAATATCAAGAATAACTTCAAATAAACCAACAATCCCCCATCCACACAAAGTAACAAACTGATCGTTAATAAAAATATCAAATGATCTTCTGAAACATTCTTGATTCCCAAATTCATAGGTATCAAAAAATGATATTATACAACACAAAATAGCAAGAGGTATTAACAGTTTCATTTTTTATTTCTTGATAATTATTTAGTTCTTGAATTAGAGATGGTAGTTTATCTATTCAAGTTGATATTTTTATCAACTAATAACGTTTTCTATCATAAAAATTATTTCTATGAATTACTTCAAAAACAAAAATAAGAAGAAAATAAGAAAAAAATATTCGAAAAATGAATAGAAGATAATAGAGGAATTGATTATCTTTGAATAAATAAAACTGTTTAACTATGAATTCATTAATGTCAAAAGTTAAATTAATTTTACAAAATATTTTCTCTCCATTACTCCATGTATTACCAAAAGGTTTCCCTAAAAAAAAGTTAATTCCATTGTTGTTATTATCGTTCCTTGAAAGTATGAATAAAAATTCTATAACATCATATGCTGGATTTCTTGTAGTAGACTTTCATGTAGTAGATACTAAAAACCAAGCAGGATTTTATAGTGGAATTTTTGATTCAAGCTTCTATGTTGGACAGTTTTTATCATCATTTATTCTTGGTATTATGTCAGACACATTAGGTAGAAGACCATTATTATTATTTGGATGTTTAGGAACTATTGTATGTACGTTGTCTTTAGGATTTTCATTTAATTATCCTTGGGCAGTTGTTTCTAGATTTTTATTAGGATTAGTTAATGGTAATTTAGGTGTGATTAATGCTTTTATGGGAGACCTTTCAACAAAAGAAAATCGAACTCAAGTCTTTGGATTAATTGGATTAATGAATGGGTGTGGAATGATTGTAGGATCTACTATTGGTGCTTATCTTTGCCGTCCTGCAATTCAATATCCGTCTGTTTTTGGAGATATTCAATTTTTCCATACATTTCCATATATTCTTCCTAATATAGTCTGTGTTTCATTAACATTAATTGCCTTCATTTTATCAGTTATTTTCTTACAAGAACCAAGGACTATTGAGAAGATGAATTGTAAGTGGTATGTTGTTATTAAAATTATTATAACGAAGGTTCTTGTTAGAATTAAAGATATGATTAAAATGTGTTTCTCTAAAGAATATATCGGTATTTTAACTTGCGTTATGAATGCAATTCTTCAATGCTCGTGTGGTATGGTTTGGGGAATGATTCCATTATTGATGATGGCATCTGTAGATGTTGGAGGTTTTGGTTGGGAAACAGCAGAGATTGGAACTTTCCTTTTAATCTCAGCTGTTGGAATTATTATCACTCAATTATTTATTTATAAACCTGTTGTCAATCTATTAAAACCATTATGGACAAATAGACTTGGGTCTTCAGGTTTATTTTTTATGTATAATGTTCCACCTTGTATTCATTATCTTTATCCATATGGGACATTACTACTATGGATTATATTTGGGTTTTATAGTGCATCTTTACAAACAATTATGCAGTTTGCATTGTCTACTAATCAAGTATTAGTTGGTAATAGTGTCACAAAGAATTTAATGGGATCTTTGTTTGGTCTTTCTCAAAGTTTACTCGCATTTTTAAGATTAATCGGTCCATTAGTATCATCTCCATTAGTCGCATGGACTTTAGATCAAAAATTCCCATTTAACATCCATTTTGCATTCTTTGTAGTTTCATTAATTGCTCTACTTGTATTTGTCTTATCATGGTTTTTACCAAAGAGTATTAATGAACCTAAACCAGATGAACATGACTATAGTCAATTACCAAAAGATGAAGAGGATGTTGAAATGAAAGATGAACAGCATAAAGAAGTTAGTATTAATAAAGATACACAAGAAATAGAAAAAGAACCAACTCCAACGAATCAAGAAGATAAAGACAATAATGAATAAAAAATAATATTGAAATAATAACATAATTAGAAAATAAGTAATTGTTTACATAATTGTGTTTTTTTTTTCAACTAATATTAAAAAGAGTCTTGGCAATTAAATACAATGCAAGAAATGTTATCACTTGATAACCTACAATAAGCAATATCGACAATAAGTTTGGCTAATTCTGTACAATTCATTTGTTCATTAGCCATAACTAAATTTCCAATTTCTTCATTACTGAAAACATCCCACACTCCATCACAAGCGCAAATAACAAAACAGTCACTACTTCTTCTTGCTACTTCAGAAAACTCAGGGACACAAGAAACAAATGCCTTACATTTAACATCTCCTATAGCCCTTGTAACAGAAATATATCCATTAACTTTTTCTTGGTCACTTATATAATTTCCGGTTTCTCTAATTCTTTGACGATCTTCTTGATAACTAGGTTTATGGTCATGTGTTAGTGCTTCAACTTCAATTCTACCTCCTCCTATATAATCAAAATTAACTTCTATTTGATTTGCTGTTTTAGATGAACCACCACTCCATCCCAATTTACCTTTCAATGTTTTTTTTGGTAGGACTAGTTTAGAAGGAGATTTTGGTCGTAACGTTTGTTGGATTTCATCGTCTATATCCTTCATTGGTATTGGACTAGTCTCTGTTCTTCTAATAATAATTGCTCTTGAATCTCCAATATTGGCAATTAAATAATGTGTTTTTGTTGAGGCAACAATTACAGAAGTAGCTCCATCAGTCATATTATTTTGTTCCATTAATGTATTAATGTTTTGGATAGCTAAAATGATCTCATTTTCAAAGACTTCTTTAGTTAAAGCTCTTCCTCGTAATTTTTCAAGTGATTTTTGAATTTCTTTTGAGATAAAGCAACTTCCATAATCCCCACCATGTCCATCAAAAATCCCAAATAAACTACTTGCGTCTCCAAAAAAGTTGTTTCCAACTAAAATAGAGTCTTGCATAGATATTCTTCTTCCACAATATTCATATGATCCAATTCCATTACAAAACTTTTGGTTACAAATATTATCATAACCAAAAGTTTCATACCGTTTAAGAGTATTTTCAATTCCTTTTTCTTTAAATATTATCTCTATTGGAATTCCTTTTAAACTTCCTTTTTTATTAATGGAAATACAAAGGTCATCATTTCCTTTAAAAGAATATCCTCGTCTAAGAGAAATGCCATGACAATATAGATTAGTAAGTTTTGGTAATTTACTAACTTTCTCCATTAATTTTTCTATTTTGACAATAGGATTATAACTTACATTTAATTCAACTAATGAACTAACTTTAGAAAAGTCACCAATACTCTTTAATTGATTATGAGAACAGTCTAATAAAGTTAATTGACTCATTGTTTCAACAGCAGATTTTTTTGATGTTAAAACAGATAGTTGATTGTTAGAAACATCTAACATTCTTAATTTTGAAGCTTGTTCTAATGAGAATGGTAGTTGAGTTAGATGACAAAATTGCATAACAAAAGATTGAAGATTAACTAAAGGTAAGAATATAATTGTAGAAATTGGATTGAATGAACATTCAAATTGTTCTAAATTTTTAAAGTTATTTAATAAGTTATCAGGTATTTCTCGTATTCCACAACCACTACAACATAATTGACGTAATTTAGTTAATGAAGAAATTTCAGTTGGTAATGTAAGAATTGGATTAAAAGAAATATTCAAAGATAATAAATTTGCACCAATAAGATTTAAATGTCTAATTTTATTATCACAAAGTATTAGTCTATTTACTAATGATCCATTTAAAGATGGAATTGATGTTAGTTTATTAAATTGAATTTGAAGAGAAGTAGATTTAGAAATATCTAAATTTAATACTGTTAGGTTGTTGTTTTCTAAATGAAAATCACATGATAAAGGTAGAAGAGGAGTTTGAGTCAATGAACAATGTTTCATAGAGACATTAACTAATGAAGTTAAATTAGTTAAAGTAGGTAATTCGATAATATTTGGACAATTATCTAGATTTAAGAGAGTTAACAATGTTAATTTAGAAATTTCCGAATGAACAGAATGAAGTTGAGGATTACTGTGAATATATAATTCTACTAAATTTGTCATAAATCCAATATTTTTATGTATTCTTCTTATTTTATTATTGCTAAGTTTAATTGAAGTTAATGAAATAATATTATAAAATGATTTCTTTAATTCAGTAATATTATTCCATGAAACATTAATTTCAGCTAATAATTTTAATGTATTTAAATAATGAAGTCCTTTTGAAATATTATTGTCTCTTAAATTTAATGAAGTTAAAGATGTACATGTTGATAGACATTCTGGAACACAAGTTAATAAATTATTACTTAAATCCAACTAAACATTAATAAAAAAGAATTTATAAAATTAATATTAACAAACATTTTGTAAATGACAACAATTTCTAAGAAATTCAATTTCAACTAATTTATTTGACATACAAACAAATTTTGTAAGATATTCTAATGTTGATAAATTAAAGTTCATGTCAAGAAAATGACATTGAGAAATAGTTAATTCTTTAATTGAAGAAACTGATAATAAAGGTTTAATTGATTTAATTGGATTTAATGATATGTCAATAACTTGTAAAGGAATTGATAATGCTGGAATTTGTTCAATATTATTTTTCCGAAGAAGGAGATGTTCTAAGTTTTTATATTCATTAATTTCATTAATATGACTGATACAATTATTTGTAACATTGATTGATTTTAACATTGTTAATTCCTTTGGTTTAGGGAGTTCTTTTAATTCTTTTCCAGCTGCATTGATTCTCTCACACATCAATCAAATAGTCTTATCTTTCATCTCTAATCTTTTTTTATTCTAATCTTTTTGTTTCTTTTCCCGATTTCTTTGGGTTCTTTTACTTGTACAATAGAATAACCACATTTTTCATTTTTTCTCATAAAAAAATTTCTTTAATTCTTTTATAGTAGTAAATCCCTTTTTTGTTTTTCTATATTTATCTCGTTAATTTCTTAGTTCTTTCTTTGATATTCTTTTAAGTTCTATTTCAAATTTAAAAAATGTTTTTATTCAAACAAACCCAAATTCTCATTCAGTACTTGTTCAAAAACTTTGAAATAAACAAACGTTTTAATTAACACAAATTCAACTCAGCAATCTTGGGAAATGAATACCGTAAATAATATTTTGTCCATAATGGGATTGTTAATAA